GGATCGGCTTCCTCTTGCTGCCTCCAGCAGAACCGCCAGCGTCCAGATCATCATCATCTAATTTGAATTTTGGTGGTTCTAAACCCAGAAGACGTTGGATGCGATTACGATCCGGGGCTGGGAAATGTTTTTCGACTAATGTTTGCAGAACTCCCCTGTAAATTATTCAATGCATTAGCAATATATAAATTAATATATACATGCAAGAAATTTTCTCTCAATTGTCTAAAACGCCACTGACTTTGCGGTAGAAACGAAGTCGCTGAGCTCGCCGTCGTCACGTTCCAACTGTTCCAAAGTACGTGCCTCACCAGTAGATTGTAAACCGATCACCACGCATTTGCCACACTTGACTGCCTCGCGAGCTACTGACACTGCATGCTTCACCTTTGCAGCGATACAAAGATACTTGAAGAAACGTTGATGTGCCGACCAAAATTGGCCCCACATTGTTTTCTTCATACGATTCTCCGCATCTATTAACTCTGCTGCTTCCTGGAACCTCTGCATCGCTTCCACCCACTAGATCAAAATAGATCGCATGAGATTATGTAACACAAACGAGTGAAATATTAACAAAGCATTTACATTTTTGCACAATAACTTACCAATCGCACTGAATGATCGTAAATTTTTGTAAAATCTTTGGAAAGAGGTACTTCCTCGATTTTGAAGGCAACACCGTGAAAACTCAATTGCCGAGCGATATACATGCCGCGCAGCTTCATATCCATCGCTACGATTTCCATCGCGCCGACACCGCGCTTCTCCACGGCAGTAATAAAACCAGTGAACTCCGGAAAAGGCGTGCCCTCACCCCACATACCTAGTCGTACCATATAGGCCATATTGCGAGGTTCAGAAGCACCGGTTGCACTGGCATACACAACTCTAGCTTTTGGAAGCTTATTCTGCAGTTCCAAAACCGTTAATCCTGCACAATTTTTATATCATCGATAAAATAAAGTCACTCGTGTAATTACTCTTGAAAAAATCTTTACGCATGAAATTTTGTTCTAACCTGTCTTAGTAGGTTTTGAACTTCCTGTAGGACACAGATTCTTCGCGCGGTGACACTCATCGAAAATTATCAGACCATCAAAATCTTCGCCACACCATTGCAATAGTTGTTTCAATCGGCTCTTATATTTCCCGCCGCTCTGTGTCGATTCACCAATTAATGCAGAATATGTACTAAAGATCACACCTTTCTTCACATTACCATTCACAGCTGACGAGATTTTCGCGTATTTAAATTTATTCAAAGCATGTACCTGCAAGCCGATTTATTTATTGCAATTTTTCATCGCTTTATCTTTAATAAGTATTTCAAATAGTTAAAATATTCATTGCGTAATTAAAGTTTTGAAATTCCGACAATATATTCGACACAATTCAACACAAATAAATTACGTACTTCTATTTTCGATGCACCTATGTCGTTCAAATCGCGTTCGGCGTCATATTTGAGATCATTTGACACCGACACCCAAATGGCACGTTTTCGACCTTTCAAGTAATTCTCGGATATAATACCGGCTATAGTCCTGCCCTTGCCAACACCCGCACCATCGCCGATTAGAAATCCAGCGCGTGTACCATCGGGTAAGAGATGCTCGTGCTGTTGAGAAGCATACGTGATGGACTCAAGTTGAAGGGCAGAGAGCGCACCGGATCGTATCGTCTCTTCCGTTATGGAGACTTTGTACCAAACATCCGTTGGTTCGACGCTCGACAAAGATGCTGTTTCGACAACCGGATCCGGATGCTTTCGTCCGAGTTTGACTGTTGATTATCGCAAACTTTAATTTAAAGCAAATAACGCACAACTAAATTAAAATAAATATTGACCGTACGTTTCGTTGGCATATAATCAGCATAAGTTTCAGCAACACCCATATCTTCATCGTCTACTTCTTCCTCTTCTGGAATATTTGGCTGCATCAATTTTGTTGGATCACCTGAATTCATCCACATTTGTGACACTGTCTTTCCTGTGATAAAATTACGAATAGTACGAGTTTGCTTTTCAAGTTGTTTTTATTAGAATTTTGCAAATACCTGACAACCCTGCCCAGTTGGTAATCCCACTTTGATTAAGTAATTGAACAAAAGGATTTACTCCCATATTCATACCAGGCATACCCATGAAACTACCCATCAAAGCATTCATATCCATGCCTAGGAAATAATTAAGATTATTGATACATACATATTTACATATATATATATATATTTATAATTAATACATGCAATTGTATCAATTTAATTATTAATCCAATTATCACAAAAATAAGAATTTGGAAATTATATTTTTGAATTTCCTAATTTTTTCAATACATAAATTTAATATTAACTTTTCTTTCAATATTATCTTTATATATAATCAAATTTAAAAATATTTTCTCATTTTGTTCTCATTTATCATTTAACAAGTATTAAAATAAAATTAAAAATTAAGTATCATAATACTAATAAAATTTAATTTATAAATGATGTATGTGCATAGATGATCACAGAATCATACATACATCTTAGTATAAAAATGAAACATTGTTTAAAAAGCCAAGTGGCAAAAATAAAAGTTTCTACTAGTAAAATTCATTATGATGAAAAAGAAATGTACTTGATTGAAGAAAGGCAGCAGGATTGAATCCTGCAAGATTCAATCCTGGTGGAAAACCAGGATATCCACCAGCCGCTAATTGATTCAGTTGATTCAATTGACCTGTTCCACCAACAAAATTACCCGGTGAGGTACCTTGAGAGCCTCCTACATGCACCATTTCATAACCTGGTGTTGCATTTTTTGTCACTAATCCTCCAGGAATTTTGTTACCAAATTTTTGGTCTAATTCTAAAAATAATTTTTGCAAAAATAGACTTTTCATAAAACAAAAGAAATTAGAAAGATTTGCACTGTTTTAAATATTTCATATATATATATATATGACTTACCGTTTAATGGTCCTTGTGTTTTATCCACAGGATTTGTTGGCAAGTCTGTAATTGGAGGTTTCTCTTCTTTGATACTTCCAATTACAGCGGCAGTCGCAAGATCTTTACCTCCACCTAATAAAAATAATTTCTTATATAGATTTTAAAATTTTATGTAAGAGTAATTGCATTATCTTGTGCAAAATAAAGATTCATAGGACAACAAGACATGTATACACAAAGTGTAAGTTTATTATAATTTACCAGGCACTTCAATTTTATCAGGATCCTCTTCATCATCAAAGTCACTTCCGCTGGTATCATCGCTCACTCCATCATCATACTTTTTGCTTGCCTACAAAAACACATATGCTAATCAACAAATTCCACTTGAATCACAAGAATCAGAAACAAAAGTAAAAGCAAACATAGTAAAAGCATATAACCCATTGATGAATAGGCTCGTTTATGATAAAATTCTAATGTATAATTTTTGTCAAAATCTGAACTGAAGGATAGATATCAGAATTATAAATTAATTATTAAAATCTCATTCGAATCCTGCTGCAAATCCTAATATCTAGGTCTGTTTTCTGTAGCTGAACTAGTATACACTTTTAGAACTTAAAGTGAGATAGATATTATTTATATATATATATATATATATATATATACGTTTGTTTGGCGGAAGAAAATTTTAATGCAGCTAGTGTACAAATAAAAAAAAGACCTCTTAATTGAAATTAATTATATCGTAAATAAATAATGTCAAACTTAAAACATTAAAATATTTATCGTATTCTCATCGATAAATCAACGATCGTTTACGATTCCGATCGCATGGTGACTCATTAGAACTCGAATGTCGGCAAAAATACATGCTCGGCATAAGAGAACAAAAAAAAAGGGGCGTCATGCATAAGACAGTCTCTAGGTTAGTTGTTTCTCTATCTAGAAGAGGGAAAGGAATACAGCTAAATTACGTGCTAGCCTTTAACAGGAAGCGCGTGCTTCGAATTCGGATATGTATCTCCATTTCCCTCTTTCTTTCAATTCTTTTCTCGGAATTAATAATTAAAAAAAAACCTACCATGACAAACGCGAGTGCCGCGACTTCTCGCGCGCTATCTCGTCACGATGCGTGGTAATGCTAGGACCACGAGGACAACGACGACGCTTCGACGAGGTATCTTGCTAGAACTTTCGACAGGATGTTCACGGGTTCGAGACGAGCGAACGATTTCTTTTTTTTTCGGCCCGGTTCAAGAGTTGAGAAGCGCGTGCTAGCTGCTACGTCAGGCGAGCATCGCCAACGATTACATGCGGTGTCTCCTACGAGAGCTATAAAATCAGGGCGACGAATATTGATGAGCCACGATCGAGCCGGTCCATCTTATGCGGTTGCCAATGTCAGTATGCGACGCGCGCGCGATTTACACCTCGAGACCGCGTTCGCTCGACTGCACGGCTGCCGCCATCTTGGGCCCCATCTCATCACCCGGCACCACCCCCCCTCGACCGACCCGAACGGTGCAACGCAACGCGAATACAAAAACACGCCTGAATCGCGCGCCGCCGCCGCTGCGCGGCGCCACATAGCCAGCGAGGGTGGGTAGAGGATCCTAGAAGTAAGAGTCCGGTTAATGTGGTCTTGTATTTTTGATTGGTTTGATGAAAAATGGCGGAACCAATCAAATGACGACTGAACACGTGGAAAAATTGAAAAGTAGATATGTGTTAACTGCACGCGCATGTGTACGTGCAGATATGTACACGTACGCTATTTTTAATCAATTACGGGAATATTAATTGGCTCGATCATCGACGAGTTACTATTAAAAGGCTTGTTCTTTTTAGCTAATCTTGCACAACTTATTTTTCTTCCCTTTTTTACATTGGAGAAAAAAAGAGAAAAAATTAATTGTGCAAGAACAAAAAAAAGTTCAGTTAAACAAACAAACCTAAAGACTAAAAGTTTCAATCATGAAACTTTTTTCATAGGACGAAAAGTGAAAAGTGAAAAATTTCTCCATTAACTTCAATGGTTAAAATTTTCACTTTTCACTTTCCATGCTAGAGATAAAGTTTCATGATTGATACCTATAAGAGATAAATTTTCGTGACTGTCAAATAGCTCTGAGAGCCCGGAAATAATTAAAGAACTTTAATATTATCGACTATTTTGACTGTCACGAAGAAAAATTAGTAAGTATTTTTATCTTCCTTAATCACCGTCTTTATCATAAAAAATGTACAAATCTTAAGATCATTGGAAATTGAAGCATGTCGAATTATTAACTGTTTTGGCTGTTCCAAGAATAAATTAATAAGGATTGTACCTTCCTTAATCACTGCTTTATCATTAAAAAGATGAATTAAGGACAATTTTAAGATTTATACATTTTTTATGATAAAACACTGGTTAAAAAAAGTAAAATCCTTATTAATTTATCCTCGTTACAGCTAAAACAGTTAATAATTCAATGTTCTTCAATTTCCACTGGGCTCTCGGAATGATCACGCCCGATTTCCGTAGGAATCGTTGCGTTCTGCAGAAAGCAGTTTTTCATTGTAAGATTCTTTAATATGATTAATTTATATATTTAGATCCAGTAAGGAACTAAAAGAACAAAATTAATCATGTTAAAGAAGGTTGCAAAATTTGCTTCTCTGCTGAATGACGGTCTTTAACAGTTCAAATTTTTAATTATTTAAAGTGAACTATTTAAAGCAAAGTTTATTTTAATTTTAAACTATTTTAAGCTTGAAAATCTCGTCAGTGACCGGACTTTCTTACGTCTGGAGACTCTAGGGGTGGGCGCGCGCGGACGCGCGCTGTTGCCGGATCACCGCGGCGAGTAAGGGCAGATTCGTAGGGCGCGTGAGCCGAAAAATTGTCGCATTTTCACGACTGGTCGCTGCGCGACCGCGATAGGCAGGGGGGAGGGAAGGAGCGCGAGATTTGTCTTCTTCCATCGCATCGGCGGCTACTCGAAAGCGAAGAGATCGTTCGCAAAAATGAGAGCGTCACGGGAAATCCGATGTCCATCGGCGTTTCCGAATCAATCAAATGCTCTCGCGACACTCCACATGATTTTTTTGAAATTAAAACCGCCCGTCGGGGAATTTGCGATTAATTTTCAAACGATTCGAATCGATATTCATGATAATAAGAAAATTGCGGATCGATACGGCTCGATTGCGAGTCGGTCTCGTTGCGATTCAAACAACTAGTGCTGTCTTTAAAAAATAATTTTAAAAGTATCAAATATATATTAGTTTCGTTGTTGAATACACGTACCATTTCAAACGGACGATTCCAAAATTTAAGATGTCGTCTCGCGTCTTTTGCGTTTGGGAAACGCTACGTAAAAGCGCTCGTGAAAGGTTGAACGATCGAGGGTTAAACGCAGATTTCGTTTGGCGGTGTTTTTCACGCAGATCTATTTGTTGAACACGTGTATACGCCAATTACAATGCGACTGTGACGACGACACCAGACGACACACGAAGCTGCTGTATCCCCAATGACGAGACGCTACCAAAGGTCGCAGGTCGTTAGAAAATTCGTGTGATTTGCGAATTTCGTGCGCAGTCGCGCCCTCTTGGAAAATACTGCGGTCAATGCATGAAACATTAACTACAGAACAGTAATTTTACAAAAATATGTAGAATTTTCACATTACAGACGCACATAAATATTTAAAAGAACATCGAATAATAACAAATTATGAAAACAATGCCGATTTATGGGCTAAACGCTCAGATTTATATCGAATAATCAAGAGCAGTTGATAATGTCAGTGCTCTATTATTATCTTTGGAACCATCAGACCCACGTTACCGATCGAGCAGTTTCAGTCACGATATCGCGTATCATTTATTCGCATGTCCATGGCTGATTGTGCGGGGCACGGCGACAGCGGACGTACGCTTGGCAACACCGCCGCTGCGTGCGGCGCTGATCGTTAGGCGATTTAAAGTATTCGCGCTAAAAAGAAAAGAAGCTGTACTGGCCAAATTCGGCGCGCGGACGCCGTTTGACGCCGTTCGATCGCGAATTCCGCTCTAGCGAGCATCATACGACATTTCTGTCTACATCGCTGACCGATGCGATCCGCGTGCATTGGTTCCCGCGACGCGATTGCCGATAAATCCGTCTAAAAAATAATAACGATTCGCAAGCGCGGCGATCGATCCGCGCGGGCCTGCGCGCAGCCAGTGGCGCCGCGCCGCGGCACGCGTCCTAATTAGCCGTCGTCGAGCGGTAACTTCATTCCGCCGCCACCCCGCCTGTCGCGGTAATTCGCTATGCGAGGATTCATTATTTATTAATGTTTAAACCGTGTTTATACTGTTAATAATTTACAAACATAATTAGGCCATATATATGTTATCATACATGTATTATACATATATATATTATAATATATATATATTATAATTATATATAGAATCTTTTTTTATATGCAAAGGAACTTATTCGTGTCATTCATTAGCTGTCTTTTTTTCTGTTACATGCTCATTTTTATCAATGAAAATTAACTTTAATTTCAGTTTAACTTATTTTTTATCTTTTTTTAGTCCTAAGAAAAAGATGAAGAGTTAATTGAATTGCGATTAAAATTAATCTACATTAATATATATATATATATATATATATATATATAGAGAGAGAGAGAGAGATATGGATATCAATTATATTTTAATGTGAAGTGAAAATTACAAAAGTGAGCAAATTCCAAAGATCCTTCTATACTGTATAGACGTATGCATATATAAAAGTACATATAGAAATATATAAGAATATAATATATAGAAGCTATGACAAATTCTATGACAAATAGCATACTCATTCCAATGCGCTTGATAGAGTGAGTAGGAACTATGGTAGGAGCATGTTGGAGCATGTTGGAACTTGCGACGCGAACAAACCTTAGAGCTTTAATTGAAGACGGTCTGCAGTGGCGTGTTTATCTTTGGGCTTTATCTTTTGGAAGTTAAGCCCGAAAAACCTCAAGGACACCACTCGTTTAAAAAAAATTATTAGCTAATTTAAATGGACGCACTCAGTGCACAGAGGTGCTTATTAAAACCGTCATATACAAACTGATATAAAGATATGCGTTTAATATAAATATAAAGATAGATAAAACCGTGAAATCTTCAATACATTTTCTTATATTACTATTAAGTAAAATATGTATTCTTCTAATAAAAGACACAATATGTGAAATTCATCAGCAGTCAAATTTATCAACAATATTATTGGGCGCGTTCAAATCGACAAAGCGACTAGGGCTGCGGTCCACTTGACGCTACAAACGCTTCGAAGCGTTTGAGCGATCAATCAGAACAAAGAATTTTACGAATTGATTAATCAAAGAATGCTTCGAAGCGTTTGTAGCGTCAAGTGGACCGCAGCCCAAGTCTGCTCACCAAGCAATTAAACACAATTGGTTGGATCCACAGGTAAGAACCAATCATGCTCATTCGCTCGGCAAGCATGCCTAGCCGCTTTGCGGATTGTGAACTCGCCCATTAATTCTAACAATGTTCATCTTAAAATTAAATTAGCAATTAGATAACAATCCGTTATATCGAGAATTACAAAATCATTAATAATTATATTTGAAAAGCTATTAAAACAGAAATTTAGTTATTAAAAATTATTCAAATTTTCAACTTTCTAATATCATTTAAATATTTCTTACAATCTAAACTGTACGAAATGTCTGAGCCAGCAACATTCCTTGTTTCAATTTTCTTAATATATCTCTTCAATGACTTAATTTCTTAAGATTTAATTATTTAGTTAAGTCATGAGCGTAAACAGAATTAGACTAAACGCAAAATAAAAACTGCAAAATCTAATTAAATACGAAATCATTTATTATTTTATATTTTAATTGCGCTAGAAGTGTCATATTGCTGATTTCAATACTTGTATAAACATTTATACAGATATTTATAATCTCTTGAATACATAAAATAAACATTTCATCTTTTGTCTTCTTATTAAAATATATCGCAATTTTTATAATAGATGAACAACGATTTCTAACATAGCTAAACGAATAAATACATGCTCTTAAATATGTAAAAATGAATTTAAATATAACGTATGCACATAAACGACGTATAAACGAATATTGCGCATTAAATCTTTCTCTGTTTCATCTGAAACAAAGGCTTTAACATAAAGTATATTATTAAATAACAGTAATGATAATTTGCAGTAAAAATAAATACTCGTAAAAATAAAGAAAAATAAAATTATGATAATTTAACAAATACATATTTGAAATAAATACTGCAGGTCAACTTTTTTCCATTCTATTAAAACGTTAAATGCATTAAAACATGAAGTACTTCACTAAATAGTAGTAACAAAAATAATTCAAGAAAAACGTTGCAATCATTTTTCCCTAAAATTGCTAAAAGTTAATAGCGTCTCGCATTTTTCTTCTCTCATGAACAAGTTAAAAGTAAGAAAATATAAAGTACTATTCTCATTAAAAATAATAATATAAATAAGTTTCGCGATGTAAATATGTATATCAAATTAAATATTATAAGGTTAACATTATAATATTAAATATTATATGATGTCTTGGTTATATTAGTTATATTGTTAATTCAACTTTCCCATTCTCCAAATTCGCAGAGTACGAAAACACTCAGTCTGCTGCAGAATAAGCTTCTTTTGTGCATGCAACTCTATGAACGAATTGTGTAATATTAGGCAGATATAATAAGAAAATAAGATAAAATTCCCATTATTTTTTAAGTATAAATATAATTTAAATAGTAAATATAGTAATATATTTCAAACGTAGTAACACTTACCGAGAAGTATATTAAAAGCATCAGCAGCATCCTCTGCCGTGACTGTGTCGTTTGGAATAAGTTGACTGAAATTGACGCATGGCTCGTTAAGCCAAAAAATTTCTAATTGAGCCAAAATATCTTTATTTGTCAGTTCGGGTTGTAAAATTCCACTTGAGCTACTAGTAAAACAATATTTATATTATATCAAACAATTCTTTGATAAATGATAGAGTTGAGATAACAATATGCTAAGTTTCATAGAAGAAAGAGCTATTAAAATTAGTTAAATAAAGCAATAAAAATTTTATGCTTCCTTCAAACTTTCGATTAATGATTTATAAATATCTATGAAAATTGTCAAATACACACTTAGAATATTGTTACGTTTAGCTCTTTACTGAACAACAACAAAAAATTCAAAATACATGGCAGGAGATCCTAAAATGGATTTCGAAGGATGTCTTTCTAGTGGCTGTCTTTCTAGTAAAGCGTTGATATCCTCCAAGCTTTCGTCAATGTTACTTATACTTGGTAACTTTTCTTGATCTCGCCTGTGCTCAACAGTGCTGAAATGGTATCATTTGATAATAAAATATTAAGGTGCGAAATTGAGATATTAAACGAATATAAAATATCAAAATAATAGATATTGAGAAATTGAAGAAATATTGAAAAATTGAAAGATTAAACAAAACTGAATAATCCTTAATAATTAAATTTCAGTTATTTCTTAAATATATATATGTATACTGTTAAAAAAAAAGAAATTTGCTTCCGTTACATGTAATGGAAGCAAATTTCAAGCAGATACATTAAAAATATTTACTGTTGTTAATGAAAATGAAGTTATAAGTAACTTAAATTTAACGTTTACTTATATTAAATTTCATGCAAATCTACATAAAATTTAATAAAAAAATGTACTAAACTTTGTAAAATTTTATGAAAACTACACTAAATTTCATGTACATTTACACAAATATACTTTTCAGTTGCAGATATATTAAATTTAATTTAGTGTCATAAAATTGAATTTAATTAGTGTAACTTAAAAGTACATTAAATTTCATTTATAACATTTATGACATTTTTAACAGTGTATATATATCAATAGTTCATATACATAAATATATCAATAGTAATTCATCATCACATAATAAAATAGACTATTACCTAATGCCTTCTTCTAAAGTAACTGTATGCGGTATTACTTCCGATAACGGTGGCACTGATACATCCGCGTGAGCTATTGGCAAAATATTAATAAAGTCTACAGGTTCAATAAATCTTCCGTAGCAAGATTTTTTTTACTAATTGTCTCTTCTACACGCATTGCTTCTTGGGCTACAAATATAAAGTTATTCAAAGCTTTGCATTAACGTAAATATTTAACAAACATCTGAATATATCTACATTGCACGAATTCAGTAGGTGCAACATCTTCATCTACACTCGTAAACGGTCCGGTGATGTGATCAACAAAAAGATTGCGTAAAGTAGCGTTCCATCGCTTAGGTAAGTATGAAGGTTCCTTGAGAAGATTTATCGCTGATGTCAAACGTTTTTTTATCGGTTTATTTATTTTCTAAATATAATGGAAGAATCTAGTTAGAACATCTTCATTCAGATTAAAATTTCTCATTTTGAATTTTTATTGTAAGTTTATATAAGCATTTTTTGCAAATTTATATAATTTAGAAACTCACCTTGCTATGAATATTTACATTCTGACGCCATTTCCCGAGTTCTTCGTCAGTTAAGGCAATCTTTTTATCAATAATTTTTCTTTTCTTCGAATGCTCATTAATCACGAAGTAGCTTGAATTTAATGATTCCAATTCCATGTCTGTTTGTTGTAAGGGAACTAACATTCCCGTTTTTTCCATATGCAATTCAGGAGCCGCTATTGCCACCTTTTCTACAAGGGGTACCGCAATATTTTCAATAAAGGGTACTGCAATATCTTCTACAAGGGGTACTGCTACATTTTCTGCAGGAGGCATGGCTGCAGTGTCAAAGGATAACTGTAAAATAATATAAAGAATTAAAATTTAAAATTAAATAAATAGGGAATAAAAAATTTTTCGATTTTTCAAACAAAAAGAGAAGAAAATTATTATGTCATGGCAAACATTCTCGTTTACCTTTTATTTTAAGAGAACTTAAAATATTCTCTATATTCTAAAACAATCAGTATATATTATAAATAAATGCATACACGTCTTTTCTTTGTAGGTGTTTCGGGTTGAATTTGCGGTTGCCGTTTTTGTGGAGTAAGAGATAAATTTCCTTTGGACTTAGTCATTCTTTTCGATATATTCACAAGCACTGGACTAGGGCATTCTTGAGATGAATGTCGATGAATCTCTGTTAATTATAATTTAATTTAAATATAACAATACATCTGCACATTATTTTTAATATACCATTAATACACTTACTTTCTGTAATTGTTATATCAGCCAATTCCTCCATAATGTTTCTTTCCTCACTAATGTGTAAATTTCGTAGATCACTAGAAAATCATTAATAGCAAACCATATGTTATTCTTTGTATTAAAGATGACACAAATTAATTTTAAGATAATGATATAAAAGTGAAAAATCAGAAATCTTACAGACTATTTTTAAAGAATTCTTGCTAAACTAGAATAAGAAATTATAATATAAAAAAAACAAGAATAAAAAACTAACAATGAGATATTGTCATTACAAAGAAACAATTCCAACTCTTTATCATTTAAGCAACCAAAATTCAAGAGTTCTGCATCTCGCATCTGTGAATGAAAAAAATTTTATTACAATCTGAATACATAATAGAAGTAAATAAAATTTATAATACAAAGAGCAAAAATTTAGAAATGCAAAAAATATGATATTTTAGAATCTAATTAAGAAAATAAGGATTTAAGAATACAAATTTGCTAATGACAAGTTTGTAAATCATATGAGATCTTCACTTACAGCTATTTCAAGGGGCTGATCTTCAGGAAGAATATATACGTCTTCTCTCAAGAGTTGAGTGCTAAAAAAATTTTTAGGCAATTCTATGTCAGGACATTCAATATCCTTAAAATCATCAAACTTATCCACTTTCTTCTTTGATGATACAGAAGGTTGAAGATTTTGTTCAAATTTAAAAATTTCCTCTGAAAAGTGAAGTTGTGTAGATTGACATATGTAGTATCATATCATTAGTAAATGAATAGAATAAAAACTCACTCTCATAATATTCAACCTGATAAGAATGAATTTTTGTTATACCATACATTAATTGTGACGACAGATACAAACTGAATTTTTCATCTGGTTTGCCACTGGAAGACTGTATTGTTTCCAGAATATCATTGCTGATGATACAATATAAAATGTAAACAAAATATCAGAAATGAAATTGCATTCATTATAAATATTGAGAGTAGAGTAGTATTGACCGTAAATGAAATAACATAATGAAATAACATATAATAACCATGTTTGTTCAACGTTCATCTTCTTTATAACACCAGAAGTGTAGAGTTTCTTAAATGATGCCTCACTATTCGTTGAAGCAAGCCAGGAAGCAGCAAATTTGCCTCTTTGTCGACGGGAAAGTAGATTAATTGGGTAAAACATCTGATGAATAATAGATCTCATTAATAAAAATAGATTTTCAGATAGCAAATGAAAGACCATGTCAAAAGAATAAAAATAAAGGTCATAATAACAGAAAACAATCGAAATTATCTTAATTTGGTACAAGCTGATTACTTTAATTCTGGATATTTTTGTCAAATGTAATAACTAATGGCTTCTTTCTAGAGTCATCGACTAAAGAATATCTCAATTTTTATAATTGTTGGATCAGGGAGTCGATTGCGTATCTTGAAATGAGGTGAAAATTCCAAAAGTGAGCAAATTCACTAGTTATTGACCAATTAAATTATGAATATTTTAGCAATTTATTCAATTTGCTCACTTTTATAATTTTCACCTTATTTCGAGATACGTAATCGACCCCCAGATTCGCTTTACCTTTCTCGCTTTTTCCTTCTTTACGAATTATTTTTTTCATGCGAAGTACATGACACATCTACTAAACGAATATCTTCCTCACATCATCATTTTCAAATTGTCGAGATGCGCGCGAAAAACACTAAAGGATTCGTAAGGCCGGAATCAGACTACGCATTGGGCACGTTCCACTTAACGTTCGCAACGCTCGCGAGCATCATTTCATTCTTGTTTAATATTTGTAAACGATAAGGATGAAGTGATGCTCGCGAGCATTGCGAACGTTATGCGGGGTCTACAATAGAAGTCGTAGCAGTCGTAGGATCTTAAATCATAGAAAATTAACCAATCAGAGTCGATTATTCTTCTCATATTCGACTGTGATTGGTTAATTTTCTACGACCTAAGACTACGACCGCTACGACTTCTATTGTAGACCCCGCATCAAGTGGAACGCACCCATTGAAGATTGAGGGTGTCATTACATAAGCGCGGAAACGCGGAAACGCGCAACCAATTAGTAATCGGTAAAACGCGA